AGGACCAGTCCGGATTGGGGCTACATTGCTCTGGGTATAAAAAGAAGATAACGTTGCATCTACATCATGGCTGGCCCAAGACAATTTACTGCCTGAGTCACCCCTGCTTTTCATCATTGCCAGCCTGAGGTGGCTGCTTCACTCTGCACCTTGAAAATAATGTGTGTTCCTTGGGTTTCAGTTTGAACTCTTAAGTTACAGTCAAATTATTTGCAAGTTTTCTACTTTAGCTAGCATATCAGCTACTAGTTACTTCAGTTAAATTAATACAGTGGTACCTTGGCTCATGAACGCCTCAGTTCACGACTAAATCAGGTTGCGAACAAAAATTTCATTAAAATTTTGACTCAGGTCGTGAACTCTGCATTGGGTGGCAACTGTGATTGTGGTCATCTCCTCACCCTCCTGAGTGGGGAGATGGCCAAGATCGCGCCAGTCTTTCCTGCATGAGTGCACCTGTGATTGCACCCATCTTTCCTGCATGAGCGCAACCACGATCTTGGCCATCTCCCCACCCCCAGCACAATCGCGCCCATCTCTCCTCCCCCAGGGCGCCTGTGTTCGCGCCCTTCTCTCCCCCACTCCAGTGTGCCGGGATGACAGGCGTGTGCAAGGATAATGGGTGCAATCACAGTTGTGCTGGGGGGGGGCGGGGGGATGGCTGGGCTTGTGCTCGGGATTGGGCGGGGGAGATGGCTGCGATCTTTGTTCTTCTTTGTCACTTTGCTTCACATTTTTCTGATTAAAAAATAGTTACAGAACGGATTAACCTTATTTACATGGAACCTTATGGGGAAATTTAACTTGGCGCACGACCAATTTGGGTCATGACCAGAGTCCTGCAATGGATTAAGTTTGTGAGCCAAGGTACCACTGTACTGGAAAGAAGTACATGCCACATACCCTGCATCTGAAGATAGTATCCAGATCAAAATAGTTTTAGAACTCATTTTCTTTCAGTCCAATTTTAAAATGGAAGTTTTGTAAGTGCATTTGCAAAAAAATTCCAATGAAAAAGAAGTAAAAGGCAACAGAAGATAATGTGGCTTCACAAAAAATGTAGCGATGACCTGGGGGTAAAGAAAAGGATATGTGTAGGAAGAGGAAGGAAAGTCAAACTAAAAAGGAAGAAAACAGGCAGTTAATGCAGAATTGCAGGAGTGGCATCAGAAAGGCCAAAGCTGAGAATGAGCAGAGGTTAGTAAGGGATGCTAAAAGCAACAACAAGCCTTCTTGGGATATACATATGTATAGTAAAAGACAGAGGAAAGAAATGCAGCGTCAATTACTCAGTGAAGATGGCAACATGTGAACAAATGAAAAATAAAAGGGAGGTATGATCAATTCTTACTTCAGCTCAGTCTTCTCCTAAAATAGAATCTATGACCTGCCTGGCAAAGGAAAAGTACAAACTGAAGGGGAAGGATTGCAGCTTGAGATTGATAGGTAAATGGTCAAGGAACATTTCATTCATCTAACTTCCAAATCATGCATAATACTAGTTTCCCTCTACTATGCACTGGTTAAGCCTCATCTGGAGTTCTGTGTTCAGTTCTAGACACCAAAATTTAAGAAAGATGGAAACATAGTGAGTCAGAAGGGATCTCCTGGACCATCTAGTCTGAATCACGGCACCAGCCAGCTCCGCTCATGTAATACACAATATGTGGTTGCCCAAGAAATATGTGGACAAATTCAAAAAAGTTGAGAGGGGGGCAACACAGTTGATCCAGGGACTGAAAAAAAGCTTGATGAGAAGAAACTGAAAGATCAGTTTAGCCAGTCTACCCTGTGGCACATATGATAGCTCTCCTCAAGTACTTGTAAAATTGTCTCACAGAGAAGGGCCAGGATCTCTTCTCAATCATTCCAGAGTGTAGGGCATGGAATGATGGGCTCAAGTTACAGGAAGCCAGATACCAGCTGAACATCAGGAGGAACTTCCTGTTAGAGCAAGATGACAATGGAAGTAGCAGCCTAGGTGGTTGTATGCTGTTGCACGTAGGAGGCATTCAAGATGTGACAGGACAGCAATCTGCAGTGAGTACAGGTTTGGATCCAATGGCCTTCTTGGCCCCTTCCAACTCGGCCTTTCTATCATTCTTATTTAATGAATATGGATAAAGCTGGATGTTGACTGAATATGGATAAAGCTATGATTTGACATAGATTTGATTTGAACTTTTGCTAGCAGGAAGAAGAGACAAGGACATATTTTGGGGTATCTTGTTGTATTTGTGTTGAGACTTTGTCAGATAACTGTTTATATTAACTGCATTTCTCAATTCCTTGACATTTTAATGAACTGCATGATATGATAATATTGGAAGATATTATCCAATATTATAACTCCCAGTGTAGTTACAAAGACCAAATACATGCCGGGGAAGTACCTCAGATTGTTGTGTGACAAATTTCAACACTCAACCTGTTTATACAGATCAGAAAAGAATGAGGTACTGAGCAATACAAATATATTAATGCTTTATCAAAGCTGGTGCCTGTCTTCTGGCTTGTAAATCTTTAGAATAAACCAACAGGCAGGCACTGCCTTTGAAAAAAGGGCAGAATCCAATGAAGTTGCCCATAAACCTTCTGAATTTGGAGGATTACATGCATTCTGTGCATGGCAGGAGGAGCCGAGCGACAAAGGCTGTCATGCAAACACTTAGATTTTGGCTGTGGAACTGTTTGGCCTTGGAGCAGACCAGACGGAAACACTGCTGGGATACTGCACATGCTCCTCTGCTCTGCCCTCCCCCTTCCCACCCCAAAAGCTTGTTTCCAAAGTTGTTCTTGTAGCCTCAGAGGAACAGCCAGTGCTGTTCTTTCCATGCTGACTGTGAGGGAGTTGGAGGGAAGCACCATCCTTCACCTCAGAGCATGTTTCTGCTCCAAGAATACAGAGCAGTACATAATAAAAATGGAGTACCATGAGTCATTGAAATCTAAGCTAGCAAAACCTGGGTAAGTGCATTTTCAGGAGCCATTTAAAATATGCCACATTTTCTGCCTCCCAGACTTCACAGGGAAAGTTTTTCCAAAGTGTGACTGCTGAGAAGGCCTGTGCATGAGGTGTTACATGGCAGTGTTCTTTTAATTTCAGAATGACCAGTAAGGCTTCTTCTGTTGATATTGGTTACACTGAAGGGTAGATAGTCTGCTGGGTATCCTTATCCCAAGTTGTGAGGGCTTCATATGACAATAAGATAGCTTTGATCATTAATTGTCTAGCAAATGCACAGATTCCTGTTTCTTTTGTGTATATATGTAACAAGGGACGTAGAACTCATTTGTCATAAAGGTAAGATAGTATTAAATATCCATCTGTCTTCCAGTTTCCACCCAGTTGCTTCTGGGAAGCCCACAAGCAAGGCATATTTGCTATAGCTGTCATTCCACAGCAACAGCTTTTCCCACTGCCATGCTCTTGATTCACAGTGGGTTGACCCAGTCCAGGATCCCAATTTCAGACGATGAGGTCCCTAATTTAACAGAATAGCTTGGCTACAGAAGGGCATCACAAGATGTCTACTTCCTTACAATTTGGGAGGGCCCCAGGGCTCAGCCCTCTTGTAACTGGAGGATTTTGCATGACCATCTTCGGATTCAGAGGACTCCAGCAATGAAGATACCACCATGATGCTGCCATTTCCATTTTTGTCCCAACCTGAGGCTGGTGAAACAAGGCCAGGCCCTTCTAAGAAAGAAGGCTTCACGCAGTATGGGGGTGAGGCTAACGGGCCTGAAAAAACTAAAGTCATGTTTAAGGTTCATTTATTGTCTGGCGTTTGTTGGGGTAGCATACAGGCAAGTCTGTTTTGCTTCCATTCATAGCCTCACTTGGAGCTCCCTGTCGTGCTGTCCTGTTCCTGCTTCTGGGAAATGTGACACCTGCTTGGCTGGAGTGTGACTGAACATGACATGTCTTCAGTGTGACTCAGATCCAGAATGGACACTGTGTAACCCACGCATGACAGTTCTCAACAACATTAGGTCCTCACTGCAACAGTGTTCATTGACTGAATTAGAACACATGCCAACACACTGTAACTGCACAGAGATGTAGGGCGGACATCCAGACAACTCAGGGACATCTTCTTTACTACTTCATAAGCTCCAAGGCTGAGCTTAGGAAAAGCAAGCTCTTGGTTAAGCTTTGGTCAGTGATATAAACAGTCTCCAGGGATTCAGTTTTAGCCCAAATGAAGGACTGAGAAATGTGTATTTATGGAAACTCAGGAAGAGAATTGAATATTATAGATATTACCATGTTTAGCTTTGGAGATGAGGGAAAAAGGCATTGTTCGAGAAATTGGCTTATGAAAGAAGGCAGATATTCCGTGCCATTCTTTTATTTCTTGATGCCATTCAAATAAATTCTACACACAGTTAACTTGCAAAGAACTCTGCATACTGTTAACTTGAAAAGATTGAGCAATTTTATTGCAAATTAATCAGAAGCAAAATACAGTTTCTTACGGTTTGGCATTCACTTAGTCATACAGCTCCTTCATTCCAATGTACATCATAAAAGCCTATACATGTTTGTTCAGTGTTACAGCTGACCCTATCTTTAGGGCTTGCTTGAAATTGTTCATTGCTTTCCTATTCCTTTGACAGGCACCATGATGGATCTTAACATTCCTCTGCCTTCAGGCAACAAGATGTGTGATGTTGTCTGAATGTATCATAAGCTGAATTTCCTTCAGACAATAGAATTCTAGTTTCATCAGCAACATTTGACATGCATAAGGGAGGGAGGGAGGGGAGGATAATCTGAAATTGCTCCCAAAGCCTGCTGGTTTTTCAAAGGAAGCAGAGATGGCAAAATGACCATCAGAGTGATGAGATGGACTTCAAGTTCCTTTGTGAAGCAATCAACAAATAATTCTTGGTTTAAAGGTAATTTTAATTCTATTGAGCTTGGTGGATTTAAAATGCCTTAAAATGAAATTCTTCAACTGAACTAGATTAGGCTATAAACTGAACTGCTATTTTACATGTGTAACAGGTATCTCATCCTACCAATGAAGTGGACAAAACATATAACCCTGAATCTCAACAAACTTGAAACATGTTTGGCTATATATTATAAAGTGCCCCTCTGTCCTTCTCATCACAGATATCAATAAACTTTGACAGTTCACCTTCTTGATTAAACACATTCATTCACACTGTAACAGCTTCTTCACGAAATACTGTCAACATGCACCTCCATTCTGCAGCATATAGGTGTAAGTATTTTCATGTAAAATATTTGCATGTAGAATAGCTATCATAATAAGCAAATGACAGCCATTCTACAACCATTTAAAGTAACTGGATGTGACCAGAATAAATTTTGATCAAAATAAATCTTGTTTAAGCCCATTACTTTGACTTAATGGGTTTCTGAATTGTGCTAAAACCTATCTAGGTTATATTTTCTGAATTTATTAATATGGTGCATTCTAAAAAAAAATCCTAAAAGAAACCAAGGACTTTTAGAAATATATTTGGATTTTGTGCAGAAAATACTTAATGAAACTCTATAGCCTGTTTGTAGCAATGATTTGTTGGACTCAGTTGGCTTGGTGACCATTTTTTCTTCTAAGTTTACTGCTTAGAAGAAAGCCAGAGAGAACTAAGACCATGGCTGCAAGTAGTACAGTAGAAACTGCAAGTGGGCTGAGAACTTGATCTTTTTCTGGACTCACACTCTTGACCAGTTCTGTAAATGAGAATACAGTGTGGAATAACTGATTAGAAAATCTAATATATTGGTGTACAAGATGCCATTCAAACACTAAGCGTAAGAGAACATTTACATCTGCATTATCATCATTTGATGGTAACATTTCATAGATGTGAAAAATCTATCAGATGAAGTAACAAAAGGTTCTCATGTCTCACCTCAAGACATATACCTTTCAAAGGGAACAACTAACATTCATCTGCAAGTCAGCAAGAGATAAGCTTGTGTGCACTCACATGATCACTTCAGAACTGCTGTCTGTAAATTAGTTTAGCTTTATTACTTTAATTTGGAAGCATTTAATTTGGGAGGCATCCCTGCCCCCCAATAGTTATTAGCCTGTGGCTACAGGAGATTCACAAAATGAATTATAGATTTATTTAGCTGTCATGGTTTCTTCTGAAGAAGGTAGTAAGAATGTTGATGAATCAGATTTTTAGGCATCTGCTAGAGCTAGGTTCCCAAAACTCCCTTCAGGAAATTTAAAATAGTTAAACTACTTTGTGTTTATGGTTCAGCTCCTGTCTAATAATGCATTCAGACCCTGGGTATTGCCCAGTGCATGTTGACTTTGCATGAGTATGCTATGAAGTCCATGTAGAACAAGGCTGCATGAATGGCTGCATGGTGTGATGAATTCGTGTGGTACTATGCCTTGACTAGGTTAAATGGGAATAAAATAACTATCAGATTATATATATTATTTAAACACAATAGTACAAGCATAATTCAAGGATGTACTCCTATGACCTCCTAATGTAGTCTAGGGGGCCATAGGATAATTTGGAGCCCTGTGTCCAGACTTCAAAGGCCCTGCCCCTGTCACAACTATTGCAGAACTGGTCCTTGGAGTAGACAGAAAGGGCTCAGGGAGCTTACATGTTTCTAAGGTGGAAGACATTGGGTTGTGCCCTAAGTGGCTAATGCCATATTTATAGTTTTGAGTATTCTTGTAATGTATGGAATTGTTTCAGAATAGATACATGAAAATCATTGTTTCCACAAGAAAAGACATTGTACATAAAACTTACCCTGTTTTCTGTCTCCATTGGCTTCACCCTGAAGCTTGAATGGTCCCAGTACAACATCTACCTTCTCCTGAAGTTCACCTGCTTCCCTTTTTTTTCTAGTTAAGCATCCCTGGTAGCATCGGGATGTGTAATCAGCAGCCCTACACACTACTAGTTTGCATTGCAAATAAACGCTGTTATGTTCGTTAAGAAATTTGAAGGCGTTGAACCTGAAGCGAACTGCATTGTTCTTTGGTGAATACAGGTTTCTGTAGGTTTTGTCTCGCACACATCTGAAAATAGAGGAAATCATAGCTGCCTCAACTTTGTTTAGATAATTACTTTAGATTAAACCCTTATGCTGTCTCCTGGTGGGAGAATTTTTGAGTTCTGAGGTAGGTGTTAACCTATAAAGCCCTAAACGGCTTGGGATCAGGATACCTGAAGGAATGCATTCTTCCCTATGATCCCTTATGCCTCTTAAGATTGGCAGGAGAGGGTCTACTCTGGGAACCCTCACTGAAAGAAGTGAGGGTGGTTTCTACCCAGAGGAAAGCCTTTACTGTGGTGGTGTCCAGATTATGGAATGCGCTCCCCAGAGAGGTTTGCCTGGAGCAACTTTATATTCCTTTCGGCACCAGGTGAAAACCTTTTTATTTGCCCATCATTTTAATTGTTAAGAATTTTAATCAGGTTTTAACTTCACAGTCGCGTTTTGGTTTGGATTTTGTTTTTACTCTTGATTTTTATTTTGTTTTGATTTTTTTTTTATTTGTGAATTGTTACTGGTTTTATGTGTATATTTAATTATCATTAACTTGCTAAATTATCTGTTTTTTATTTTTTAAGCCGTGCTGAGACACTTTTGCATATAGGGTGGGGTATAAATATTTTAAATAAATAAATAAAAGGTGATCTCTATTAATTAACAGCCAAGCTAGAGAAGGATGGGAAGATTAATTGATGACTGCAACCTGAATGGTGAGAGAAAAAATAGGTTTATGGAAGTACTAGGAAATGGTTAAAGTTATCTCTAAGAGCCCTATTGGGGAAGGAAGGAGTCATACTGCTGGTGCAGGAGGACTGTATGGTAACACTGAACCTTTGGTCCTTAGGCAATAAAGATCTTTATGCAGTGTTGCACAGAATAGTCTGTTTAAGAGGTTTCACAAAATCACAATGTTGTTCACTATCAAAAGGTCATATGGCAGTGCACAAGCATGAGTCCTCCCACACAGACTTTGACCTCTTCTACTTTTGTATGACATTTTTTGGATATTGATGACATAATGAGATAGCTGAGTGGTGTATTTGCTTACAAGTAATTATAGCATACAAGTTGTTTCTCTCATTCTTTCTAGATTTTCTTGAGGAAAAATGTAATCAAACTCCTCATTTGCACTTCCTTTGTATTGCACAAATATACATTTAGTCTTAACTACTCCACTTTATAAAGTAAAAAGAAAGATGCCTCTTTTCCAAGTTCTCTAAATGTACTCACCCATTCCTGATTAAATTATAGGTCAAGTTTGTGAAGTCATCAGGATATGGAGATGCTACACAAGTGTCAAGGAACAGTACTAGGTTTGGATCAGAAGTGTGGAGAGTAGCTTGGAGATATAAGTTCTGATTGAGTGAAACATAGTATGGGGAGCCATATACTTGATAGTGGAAAGATGGTGATTCATAGAATGAAATAGTCACATTGTAATGGCCATGCTGTCTTTCAGTAATGTCAACAGAATTTTGGGCAACAAACATTGTCTGTACAACAGAGTTCTCGTTCATTTCACACACAATGTGAAACTGAAAATTCCTTTTTCTTGTAATGATATAACCAGAGGCTGATGTCATAATTATGTTTGAATAGATTATAGAGTCATTCTTCTTCTGCTAAAGGACAAAAAAAAAGGATACATTATAGTCACCTTATATAAAAATGGTATTTATCTTATGTTATTTTAATTGAAAAGATAGAGCAGGTAAGGAATATAAGACCTAACATTTAAAAAAATGTAAAAGATAGAAGAAATGTGATCACAATAACAGAACTATGCCACAATATTGCCACATAATTTGTGCTAAACAAAATTCAATGAGTAATAGCAATTAATATCAATATTATATCTGTGCACAAACTTACTATAATCTTGAACTGTATGTATCTCTTTAAATAATTGATTTTTGTTCTTTTTAAAAATTCCATTTATTTTTACCCTCAGAAGTGAAATGTCTGAAATTAATTTTATAGTGATGTTTCACACCCTAATTAAATGTTATACTGGTTAGTGTTAACACCAGTTAAAGTCCATGTTGGCATTTCTTGTAACTATTTTTAAGGGAGGAGTGGGAAGAGGCAACCTGTTCATCCCGAGGCTGTACCTTCTCTGGGGTTAGAGAGCAAGAGTTCTATAATCACTGGTCCATAAGGAAGATGAAATATGTTCCACAACTTAAAGCATCAGGGTTATATTATGAAGATAAGATTATTTTTCAAGAACAATAGCTTCTTACCTGCCTTACTGTGCCACAACCACTGAATGGTATATCAAACACAACATACTGCCATGTGATGTGAGGCATACAGAAAGGGCCTGAAGAATTCAGGTACACATCCCATGCACCATAACCTAATGACCGGAGATAGGCTCTGCTGATCCGTGCATGCATATATTCTCCAGAACATGAGAGTGCTAAATGACGGTACCCAAAAACAAAAAACAAACAAAAAAACTGAATAATGCAAATGCATCTAAACATTAACAGAATTTTACCTCCTGACTTCACTTGTGATCCAGGGTCACTTTGCTAATGTTGTTTAGTTGCAAAGTCGTGCCCAACCCATCACGACCCCATGGACAATATTCTTTCAGGTGCTCCTGCCCTCCACCATCCCTTGGAGTCCACCCAAGCCCACACCCATTGCCCCAGTGACTCCATTGAGTCACCTCATCTTCTGTCATCCCCTTCTTCTTTTGCCATCTATTGTTCCCAGCATTAGGCTCTTCTCCAGGGAGTCCTTCCTTCTCATTAGGTGGCCAAAGTATTGGAGTTTCATCTTTAGTACCTGGCCTTCTAAAGAGCAGTCAGGGTTGATCTCCTCTAGGACTGACTGGTTTGATTGCCTTGCGGTCCAAGGGACTCGCAGGAGTCTCCGCCAGCACCACAATTCAAAGGCCTCAGTTCTTCGGCGCTCAGCCTTCCTAATGGTCCAGCTTTCACAGCCATACATTGCAACTGGGAAAACTATAGCCTTGACTATACGCACTTTTATTGGCAGGGTGATGTCTCTGCTTTTTAGTATGCTGTCTAGATTTGCCATAGCTTTCCTCCCCAGGAACAAGCATCTTTAAATTTCTTGGCTGCAGTCCCCATCTGTGGTGATCTTGGAGCCCAGGAAAATAATATCTGTCACTACCTCCATTTCTTTCCCTTCTATTTGCCAAGAAGTGAGAGGACCGGATGCCATGATCTTAGTTTTCTTATTGTTGCGTTTCAAGCCAACTTTTGTGCTCTTCTCTTTCACTTGCATCAAGACACTCTTTAGTTCCTCTTCACTTTCTGCCATTAGAGTGGTATCATTTACATATGTGAGGTTGTTAATATTTCTCCCAGTGATCTTAATTCTGACTTACAATTCATCTAGCCTGGCCTTTCACGTGATGTACTCTGCATGTAAGTTAAATAGGCAGGGCAACAGTGTACAGCCTTGCCGTACTTTTTTCCCAATTTTGAACCAACCAGTAGTTCCATGTCCAGTTCTCATTGTTGTTTCTTGACCCACACAGAGGTTTCTCAAGAGACAAATAAGATGGTCTGGTACTCCCATCTCTTTAAGAACCTGCCACAATTTGTTGTGATCCACACAATCAAAGGCTTTAGCGTAGTCAAAGAAGCAGAAGTAGGTATTTTTCTGGAACACCCTAGTTTTCTCCATGATCCAGCATATGTTGGCAATTTGATCTCAAGTTCCTCTGCCTCTTCAAAACCCTTCCTGTACTTCTGGTAGTTCTCGGTCCACATATTGCTGGAGCCTAGCTTGTAGGGTTTTGAGCATAACTTTGCTAGCATGTGAAATAAGTGCAATGGTACAGTAGTTTGAACTTTCTTTCTTTGGCATTGCCCTTCTTTGGGATGGGAATGTAAACTGACCTTTTCCAATCCTGTGGCCACTGTTGAGTCTTCCAAATTTGCTGGCATATTGAGTGCAGCACTTTTACTGCATCGTCTTTTAGGATTTTGAATAGCTCAGCTGGAATACTGTCGCCTCCACTAGCTTTGTTGTTGCTCAGACTTCCTAAGACCCATTTGACCTCACATTCCAGGATGTCTGGCTCAAGGTCAGTGACCACCCCATCATGGTTATCAGGGACGTTAAGCTCTTTCTTGTATAGTTCTTCTGTGTAATCTTGCCACCTCTTCTTAATCTCTTCTGCCTCTGTTAGGTTCCTGCTATTTTTGTCCTTTATCATGAAGATCTTTGCTTGAAACATTCCCTTCATACCTCCAATTTTCTTGAAGAGATCTCTAGTCTTTCCCATGCTATTGTTTTCCTCTATTTCTTTGCACTGTTCATTTAAGAAGGCCTTCTTATCTCTTTTAGCTATTCTCTGGAATTCTGCATTCAATTGGGTGTATTTTTCCCTTTCTCCCTTGCCTTTTGCTTCCCTTATTTCCTGAGCTATTTGTAGAAAGCCATTTTGCTTTCTTGCAATTCTTTTTCTTTGGGATGGTTTAGTTGCTACTTCCTGTACAATGTTGCAGACCTCTGTCCATAGTTCTTTAGGCACTCTGTCATATCTAATTCCTTAAATTTATTTGTTGCCTTCACTGTATATTCATGAGGAATATGATTTAGGTCATACCTGAGTGGCCTAATGCTTTTCCCTACTTTCTTCAATTTAAGCCTGAATTTTGCAACAAGAAGCTCATGATCTGAGCCACAGTCGGCTCCTGGTCTAGTTTTTACTGACTGTATAGAGCTTCTCCATGTTTGGCTGCAAAGCACATAGTCAATCTGATTTCTGTGCTGACCATCTGGTGATGTCCATGTGTAGAGTTGTCTCTTGGGTTGTTTGAAAAGAGTGTTTGCTATGACCATCGTATTCTCTTGACAAGAGTCTACCAGCCTATGCCCTGCTTCATTTTGTACTCCAAGGCCAAACTTGCCTGTTATTCCAGTTATCTTTTGGCTTCCTACTTTAGCATTCCAATCCCCCATGATGATAAGGACATCATTTTTTGGTGTTAATTCTCGAAGGTGTTGTAGGCCTTCATAGAACTGGTCCACTTCAGCCTCTTCAGCACCAGTGGTTGGGGCATAGACTTGGGCTACTGTGATGTTGAATGGTTTGCCTTGGATTTGAACTGAGACCATTCTGTCATTTTGGAGATTGTATTGGAAATTTTCCTACTCTTTTATTGACTATGATGGCTACTTTATTTCTTCTTAGGGATTCTTGCACACAGTAATATACCTGAATTAAATTCTGAAATTCAGGTATACTACTGACTACTAAATTCAGTAGTCATCTGAATTAAATTCACCAATTCCTGTCCATTTTAGTTCACTGATTCCCAAGATGTCGATGTTCAGTCTTGTCATCTCATGTTTGACCACGTCCAGCTTACCTTGATTCATAGATCTTACATTCCAGGTTCCTATGCAGTATTATTCTACAGCATCGGACTTTTCTTTCACCACCAGATACATCTGCAACTGAGTATCATTTCGGCTTTGACCCAGTTGCTTCATTCTTTCTGGCGCTACTAGTACTAGCCCTCTGCTATTCCCCAGTAGCACATTGGATACCTTCCGACCTGAGGGGCTCATCTTCAGGCATCATATCTCTTTGCCTTTTGATACTGTCCATGGGGTTTTCATAGCAGGGATACTGGAGTGGGTTGCCATTTCCTTCTCAGTTTGCTAATAGGAGGTTCTAATTTTTGGATGCTGGCACTAGTGTCGGGATGGGGGGCCTCTTGTAACCTTAGGGCCCGTGTCTATTTCAGAGAAGCTCTCAGGGCAAAAAAGGAGATACCAAAACACCTTTCTCAAATGAACAAATTGTGGCTTAGAACTCTTCCCACCAGTAACTAGCCTTAGGAGAGATAGGTCAACCTTTTCATAGGTGGGGAAAAAACCTGAACAAAAGTTGAAAACCACTAAGCAATCTATGGTCAGGAATATCTGAGTGGGCCCAGAGGATTAGGATGTGACCATCTAGAAAACTCCAGAGGGCAGTTCTAGACTCCAGGAAAACCAGATTTGAGCCTAGGACCTGAGGTTTGACATCCCTGTCATAGAGGTGGCCATCATCATCATATTCTTCCTCCTCCTCTTCATCATCATCATTATCGATATTAAAGGTACACAGATTCTGCCACTTGAGATGACCTATATAGTTTGCTTAATGGTAAAATCAGCCTTCATAAATCACATTTTCTCAATTTTTAAGATTTTAGGGGTGGGGGCAAGTTAGAACATAAGAAAAGTCATGCTAGATCAGCTTCATGGTCCATCTAGTTCAGCACTCTTCAGCAACTGGTATATGCAAGAATGGCATCTCTGGAAAAGGAGGTAGTACATAGCCAGCAAGGCTGGTAGCCACTGAAAGCCTCCTTGATGAAAGCCTCCTTGTCCAATAGTTCCAGTATTTCCTGTTAACACAGAGACTTCACAGCAAAGCAACTGAAATCAACAAGTCTCAGGAAGGCCCCTCTTTTAGTGAAATGAGCCAATCCATGCATATGGTATAGATTGGTCCCTTCCACTTCATGTGTTCTCAGATAACCTACAATCAAATGGATCTTGGTATCAGCATGTAAACCCAAACTTTTATAGCAGTAGCTGGCAAAGTCCTATCAAATTCGATTAAAGTTATTTGACATGGCAATTATAGAAATGGAAAGAAGTTATATATTTATTATATGATTTCTCATTTCCAGCACTAGAAATTCATATCCGTATCCAAATACTAATGATTTATTCTGTGTTGCCAAAGGAACAGTACTGGCTGAATCCCTTCTGAAGGAAGCATTTGGAATGTCATGTTGTCCATAATACCCAATTAAGTTTTTTGTATGTGTGAGAGAAAAAAAAATTAATCAGCTGTGGTAAAACATGGGAGGATTATAAGATGATAATGTCTGGAACTGTGTAAAACTCCATGAACAAAACAAGGTGATTACAGAATAAAATCCTCATCTGGAAGCATCCAAGATTAGGCATGAGCAATTTGTGACCCTCCGAATTATGTTGAACTACCACTCCTATCATCCCTGATTATTGGCCATGGTGACTAGAGGTGATGGCAGTTGCAAGCTAATCACCTCTGAAGGGTTACACATTTCCTGCCCTTGCCCCAAGTGAAGAAAGCTGAACTTACCTCTGGAAGGAACAGATGATGAAGTTGTGGAAATAGCTGTGAACATGAAAGATAACAGAAGTGAGAGTCTCTGTGTCAAATTAGCACATTAGTAGCTAATGCTATTGAATTCTACAGTCTTACATTCTTCATTTACAAAGTGACAAAATGGCAAGGAAAAAAACGAATTGCATCCTTAAATGCTCTGTAACAATGGATATCCTACTCTTTTTATGTAGAGTTTTGACTGATCTAGTCCATACCTTGGCTTAATTTCAGCATGCAGCCCGATCCATAAAGGAAGTCATAGTCTTGCATGTACAAGATCTAAGCAGGGCTGTCATAGATAGGACATTTTGGAGTGCTTTCATTCATAGGGTTGCTGTGAGTTGGAGACAACTTGACAGCACACAAAATGGATAGATGAGAATTTCATTTCATTTTGTTGATATTTAAGAATTTCTTTGTATTTGGGATGGAAAGTACTTGATTTAAATCATCTGAATGTGGCAGACTCAAAACTGAAAGATCTGTCCATCCAGGCTCAGGGATTTGAGATGTTAACTTCTAAAAATATGAGTTTTCATCCCTGTTTCAATCATGGTTGCAGTGCTAAATTAAGTTTTTTGGTCATCTCTTTCTTCAGACAAGGTCCTTTTTTAACAGCTACATGGCAGACAGGTACAACTTGGCCTTCTCTGTGTTGGGAATACATACCTGTTGAATGAAACAGGTTCATAGGAGTCAGAATTTGGCTTCAGCTCATTTTGGATAACTTTTTAACCAGTGTTCCATATTTCTTAATATTCTGGACAGAAAGGGCTTGACATTTTTAAAAAATCTGAATGCAGGAGAAGGCAAACTGAACGCTTAAGGCATCCTTAGTGGTGTCTCAAGCATACATTCTCCTGCAAGTAGTAGTCCTTTTCAGGATAAATCTAGATTCACTGCAGAGTAAATACTCATGGTAAACAAAGATGCCTTCATCTAAGTTAGGAAAGTGGCTGGCATTCAACCCTTTGACATCTCTGCACTCTGAATCCAGATTGGGTCCTTCCCTTCACTGCAAACCCTTTTCCCCAGTGCAAATAGGATGTGTGCCTCAAAATCAGAACAACGCTAAGCAAGGGAAGAGTTAAAGCCTCCCAGACCCTGTGCCAAGGTCCCAGTCCAGGTTGCCCCCCCCCCCACACTCTCCTGCAAGAAAGCACATATAGTTTTGCCCAAAGGATAAGTCTTTGCCTCATAAAATAATTGGTGTAAATGGAAAGTAGCAGTGTCTTACCAGTTGTTGGTTGAGCAGTAGCTGGTGTACTAGCTGGTTCTATGAGGGAAATCAAAATGATAAATCACATAAAATGATACTGAATATACCAGCAGTTATTCTTCCTGTGATCCTCTGCATATATATTGGACTGGATTAATATAGTATGCCCAATCTGGTGCTGCCCTTGAAGGCCACCCAGGTCCCAATCCTATGAACTCCCAATATCAACTGGGAGACCACAGCAATTGGAGTCCAAGCACCAAGCTCTTCTGACTTTGGTGCTCAGACCTCAAAGACTGAGTCCCTTTCCACCTCCTTGCAGCTGGTGCAGAAAGAACCACTCCAGTAAGTTCAGAGGCTTACAAACATCTGCCACAGCAGCAATAGGAGTCCACCCTCAAAAGCTTCAGGGAGTAGAAAATGCAGGTGGCAAAATTCTAACTGATGCAGCCTCATAGAAGTGCCATGAAGGTTCACAAAAATAAAATATCAATATAATTAAAGTAATGGTATTGTAATTCAAATTAAAACAGAATCACAGACAGGGAGGTTAAAATACACTAAAGAGTTGGTGGAATTAAAGCATATTACGCACCCATGTGGAAGACAACACAAAGAAGGGGCTGGCAGCTGAAACATTATTTCAGTTGTTATTAACATGACATGGCCTACTGTACAAATGTGTGCCTGCGAAGTGGATGAAAACTGTGCATTCAAATTAAGGGTATGCATCAGATTTAGAAGACGTCAGAGCAGTATGGTGTCCCTCTGGGGCATTTTAGTGGTTTTGAGGCATTTTGTTGAAACCACTCGCACTTGGAAGCCAAGCCAGAACAAGGATTCCTTAGCAAACATTAAGGTACAGCTTGATCCTCTCTTGGTCCAAATACTGTCTTCATTTTGTTTCTCTAAAATACTGATAAAGTGGAAGGGGAACAGGAGGAAGTACAGTACAGTGACTGGCAGGTCTACCTTCCAATCCTAGGACATGTTTTCCAGGACTTTCAATCACTGAGGGCAGCAATAGGACTGTGAGATGGGGGTTCTTTCAGTGCTACTGGCCTATAAAAAAGCCTTAAATTTGTTTCCAGTCATTATATCTCTATAACCCCTGCACCTCATCCTTCAGCAAATATGCAGGTTTCTGGCTTCAAGCATGATATCTATTATTTTCATACAAACTTCCTAAAAATGGGTGGGGGGAGTATATTACTATCCCACTTTGGAAAATTTTTCTTTTATGGTAAAATAAATTGTAAAGACATGGTAAAGATGATCTCAGTGTGTATACAAACCACAGAAACGAGACCACAAATCACACAAGCTTGTGGCCCTATGTAACTGATTCTCAACATACTGAATCCCCCAAATACACCATTAACACAACACAGAAACTCAAAGTCAACTGCAGCTGGCTAAGTAGCCAGTCCATACCTTGTCGAATAGAATAATAATAAGCATGAAATCCATTTCCCACGTCATTTGAATCTCTGTTTAGCAGAATAGTCATTATGTTGGAACTTGATGTATAGCTATAGTTGAGATAGATATTAGAACAAGTTCTTCCAAGCAGGTTTGAAGAGTAAACATTTCCATCAAAGATCTTGATATATTCTTTTTCGCAGTCCAGGCTGTACAGAGGTAAGTTAGTAAGTTATTCTTTATATCATATTACAGCATAGTTCTGTACATTAAGCTGAAAAGGATTTGCCTTCAGTGACATGAATTCTATAAAACAGTGAATACATGAGTTCAGTAGAACTGAGCTGAATTCAACACATCTCGAACTACCCATATTGTACTACTGCCAGCTGAGTTAAAAGTCAGGCAGCTGGTAGGGATAGAAGGCATTTTGTTCAGTTTGCATATTGATATGAAAATTAAAGATTCACTTTTCCTGAATAAGTACACAAACCAATATGCAACTATCCCTCACTACTTCAGATATTGCAATGCATTTCTGTGAGTCAAACATGCATACAAATGTGCATAATATGGAAAAGAATGCATTAAAATGTATATATTCATGAAACATGAAAAAACACCTTGGAAAAATTACATTAGGAAAATGCATTAAAATGTGTATATTAGGAAAAATATACACATTTTAATGTGTATATTTTTCTATACAATGTTTCATGTGGACTTTAAAAATTGTTGTGGAAATGACTGAACAAACCAAAGGCACGAGAATGAGAAACTCGAAGGAAATTGAAATGGATAAGTTCATCAATCCCTAATAGTGGGTAGATCAATGAAACAACCACTTTACCATATCCCAAACATACCACAAATCAATCAAATCATTAAAAATGCAGCACACTTGCCAATTTACTTCTTCCTTATACTGCATATGTGGGCAACCCTTAGCCTTTGGGCCAGTTTTCTGTTCAGAAGCCTACCTAATTTCCCTGCAGTTTTACTGATCAGCCTTCAGTTAGGCAGCTGAAGGACACCCCCCACCCCCCAGTTCTGGTGTGACTAAGAACAAATTTGTTCCCAACTGAAAGAGAGCAGAAGAGGCTTTATCCATTCTCCTTCCCAGTTATCCCAAAGCAGCCATGACAGCTGTTTCTTTGCTGTTTTTCTGCCTCCCAATGACTTTTCAACTGGGAATTCAGTTTGGGACTTCATGCATGCAAAGTACTTTGCCAGGTATCTTCAGTCTAGGTCATCTTAATTGCCTATAAATACAGTTGCACAGAAGAGTTATCATTTCTACTCAACATTCATTGACTCCATCTAATTGTTCATCATTTTTGAGATTTGGAAGTTCGAAAAGCAATCTCTAACTTTCTAGACACGGCCTTTGGTTTAGTTTGGTTTTTTAAAAAAACTATCAATGGGGTAATGATTACTCCTATTTGTTTGGAGGATTTTATTTTTTGTGTCATTTAGTCTGATGTAGAGGATGGAACTGCATAATCAAGTTTGAAGGATTAGCATTAAAAAAAAATCTGAGAGCAATCACATCTGAAATCGGTTGTGTGTGTCCATCACTCATCATTGCAGATATCTTTTTCTTGTCACATTTAAATTTTTTCTCTCCTTTAGGTGATTAGCTGACATAAGGAAGAACCCACAGAATGAATTACACTGGCAGCTTCAGGCAAGCAGCAGTCACTTGACAGCTACAGTTCATCACACAAGAAAACACACAAGCCTATAATGTAAGTTACTCAAATATGGTCACATCCAGGAATCTCTGCATGCACTATCTCAAGGAAGAAAAGGCAAATCCAAAGACAGCAAAACCATCACTAAATATATTAAATATACAGGGACAAAAAGAAACAGAAAACCTATCTGGTTTTTCTGCTATTCGTTCAGCTTACCTAATAGAAGTAAAATGCAGAACTATGTGGCTTAAAGCATTCCCTTGAATTTTCCAGATACATTGTATGCTGACATTGTTTCCAAGATAATATGGTCCAGAGATGTCTCCATATGGAAGTGTGAGGTTGCCACCGCACTGGTTTACTAGAAACCACAAAACAAGCTTGTGTTCATATAAACCAAAGTGGAGCTTGGTATAGATAAGGATATTGTCTTCTAAACTCTACATCCTGTTCCTCAATTCCAGCTTGATTTAATTCATTTATTCTGCTTTTTGGTCATTCATAAACCGAAGTGCCCTTGCTAATACTTCAGAGTCAAGAGGACACTTCCATGTAATTATGAACATAGTCTCATTTGGTCTGTTTGTCTACATTCCAACCCTCAGCTCCACATGCTTGCTTCAGTCTCCATAAGGCTGAAAAGTTAGCTAGCCCAAAGATGATTTACCCTTCCAGTCAATTACTTCACCCCAAATGATTGCCCAGCTCACGTAAAACAATCAAAGATCAAATAATCTCAACGGATCAATTGTGAAAGGCCCCTGACCAAGGCAGAAGGCAGAGGGGGAGTCAGGCAAGGCACTGAGCTCCAGCAAGCCTGGCATGTGCATGTGTATTGCTCCATTAACTTGATACATGATGTTGAAATGTTGCAGCATCTGCCTGAGTAGCTGGGCAGGACAAAGATTAGCTTGTTGCCCTCTGGCATGAGTGTTGAAGGAAGACCCAACCAGCAACCCAGGTAGTTTGTATAGGAAATGGAATATGGTACCAGCCTTGCGGCTAACACTTTTGTTCTCTGATTTGACAGCTGGAGAAGGGAGGCTACAAGATTAGCGATAAGAGGCATACTACCTGAGGCATTGTTCTGGTAATGCTCAGTGTAATATTCAGCTTTTGAATACAATGATGCAAGAATGAATCTTGAATAGAAAGGGTTTTTTTTTAACAACAATTGAATGTGTTAACACAACAGTTTGCTGCCACTGGGGTGTTTTCCATTTCAGTGGGATATTCCTCATAGTTCATTTATTATTCTTACTTGCCTTAGAACAAATATAAACTAATACAATTAGACACAAGATTATTTGATGGAGGGCATGCTTCCAAGTCATTAATATCCTCTCAGAACTCTTTTTCTATATAAGGGCATAGATATCACATAATAGAAATTGACGCAGACTTACTGGTGCTGACAGCGGAGGTTGATTTTGGACCTGGAAAGTAGATGAGAAGCAAACCAAAACTGGTCAGAATATTTATTTATTTATTTAGAAAGCTTCTATGCCGCCCCATTCGCCGAAGCCTCGGGGCACCTTACAACAATAAATAACATAATAACAATATAAAAACAATATAATTGGAGACGTCCTGGCCAAAGATGTGAAATCAATAAATAATATTAACAATTAAAATGACGTTTAAATAAAAATTAAATATGGTAGAGTCTGCAAACATTTGAGCAGTAACCTTGACTGAAATTCAAAATTAATCATATATGCTGAGTAACATTTATATACACACAGTTTTGGGATATAGCAAGGAGAGTATAGAAGTCACTGTTAATGGATGGAACAGGAAGAACTGATCACAAACAAAGATGAAAACTGATAAACAAATGTGCCACTCCTCAAATTTTTATTCATATTATTACCCAATTAATGGGGCTATCTACTGATGGCATGAGAGCACCCTGAGGTCAGAGTATCTGATGTATCTATCCTCTAGTTCCTCTTTCCATAAGACGATGTTATCAGTAACACAATTCAGGAATTTCTTGGAAGGGTCATATTTGGCAGAATTTGTCTCCCAACAGATATCCAGGAAACTGAAGTCTTCCATTACTGCTATATCATGTCTCCTTGAAACACTGCTTGAAAATATTTTCAATTTCCTTTGCAGAGGTTCAGACTTCAGACTATATAGTCAAGAGTTGACTCTGAACCCTGGTTCATTTTATTCTTTGTTTCATTTATTCTAATCCAGATGTTCTCCTTGGGTCTAATAGGCTAACCCTCCTGTATTTCCAAGTACATGAAGCGAGGTTGGTGCTCCAACATAAAAAGCAACTCCTTTGAACACTCAGTTTTCAGTGCCAACAGAAACTTATTTCACCCAAGGCAAACTCTTTTTTCTGTCCCCTCTCCCCACTCTGCTAGCCATTTCATTTCAAGCTCTTTGCTGTGAATCATCATCCATCCATCCATCCATCCATCCATCCATCCATCCATCCTCTTTCTCTCTCTGCCCAATGCAAATAGGAGATATACCTCTAGATCAGGACCACAGTAGTCAGGGAAAGGGTTAAAGTCTTCCAGATCCAATGCCGGGGTCCCAGTCCAGGCTGCACCACTCTCCCAACACACACACACACACACACACACACACGCATGCACCCACCTGCAGCTGACTGTTAAAGAACACATAAGCAATAACCCTTTGTTTCATAAACTAATAACTTGTGACATAAACTAAAAACTGGTGAACGGAGCAGGGTCTTACCAGTTGTTGATTTGGCAGGAGCTGGTGTTCTTGTTGGAGCGGGGGCTATTTTTGTGGAAATTAAAAAAAGAAAAAAGATAGGTCATATGTATATGATACTGATTCTTCTGGTAGTTTTCCTTCCCGTGATGCCCTGCATTTATCTTGGATAAACCTTGTTATCTTTGAATAGCAAAAAGTGTAAATGGTTATGATATCTGGTCAAAGTTTTAGGGTGCATATTTATTAATGGAGGAGGCATCACCTGATAAAAAGGAATGTTGGTCAGATGCTGTAGAATCTATAAATATCTGGGCAGCAATGAGTTAAGTGACCTGCTTTCCCAAATACAATGCAATATGCATATCACAAAAGGTGTGTTTTATTTAGCAAAAAAAAGTATGCAATTGATCAGTAACTTTAATTTGATTAAAATATGAAAGTAATACAAACATTCAATAGGCTAGGATGAACTTGAAAAATTCTAGCTTAATCTAAAGTCTAAAAATTCTAGTGCACAGAATGCTGTTACTTTCTCACTGAAGTGGCGCCTTTTTATCTACTTGCATCTGCATGCTTTTGAACTGCAAGGTTGGCAGAAGCTGGGACAGAGCAACAGGAACTCACCCCATTGTGCAGATTCAACCAGCCCAGCAGCACGACAGTTTAAACCACTGTGCCACCTACATCCCACTTAATACATTCAATAGGTTAGAATGAACTTGAAAAATTCTAGCTTAATCCTGGTAGATGGAAAGGACTTACTTGAAATTGAGGAAACAACTGACAATATCAACATCTATCATATTTGATGCAGTCTACAAAAGTCAAGGCTATGGTTTTCCCAGTTGCAATGTATGGCTGTGAAAGCTGGACCATAAGGAAGACTGAGCACCAAAGGATTGAGGCCTTTGAATTGTGGTGCTGGAGGAGACTCCTGCGAGTCCCTTGGACTGTAAGGCGATCAAACCAGTCAGTCCTAGAGGAGATCAACCCTGACTGCTCTTTAGAAGCCAGACACTGAAGATGAAACTCAAATACTTTGGCCACCTAATGAGAAGGAAGGACTCCCTGGAGAAGAGCCTAATGCTGGGAACAATGG